TACGCCAACAGGAAGGATCACCGCCACCCTCTGTTTGCTCAAGCATTTTGAACCCAGGCGTTATGGGGGCTGCGCGCATTAGCTCCATCTGAGCCGAGAGGGCTATCTGAAGACCCACATATACGTCCTGACACGCAATCATAAGACAATCTCTAATTGTCTTCACCTCGTATGCGTTGTAAAGAGCAATGATAGAACGCAGAATGCGATGGTATTTTTTGACTGCCAGTTCCATCAACTGTGCATCTCTCGCCCACAGCTGCGTGCTTCCCTCAATGTCGACAAAAAGCAGACAAAAAGGTTCCGCGCCGTTGGGGGCTCGTGTGCTCTCCATACTCTTGAGATTCCCTTCCATTCCAGATGAAAGCCATTTCAACATGAATTCCCACGCCCACATGAAGCGGGACTCCATCGCCACATTCCATTCATTTTCAAGAAAGTGACGGCACGCGTAAATAAAGGGTTCAGTGAACATCCGCATCTGTTCGGTTGTGACATTGTACGCCACATGCCGGGCACCCAGCTCCAGCAGGTACTCTTTCATCTTCTCCTCATCATCCAGGCCAGTGATAATATCAGTTATAGACTGGAATATACGCCGACCAGAACGAAGATCCTTGAGGGCATCAAAAACAGCCAAACTACTGTTCATGTCAATAGCCTTGGCATACATAACACCAACAAAACGTTTAGGCACCTCAAGCCCCTTCTGACGTTCGCAAATAAGTTCAAATTCCTCCTGTAAGCGTTTCACAGTCTCACTTTCATGGATCTTTCCATACCTTTCCCCGCGGGCACTTTCACTGCCACGCTCAACAGATTCCAGTAGCGTTGACCAGAAACCCATCCATTCATTCTGAGACCCCTCAAATACACTCTTGCTTACAAACCGTGGAAATACTTCAAAAAAGGAATCCCGCATCAGTTTATAGTGTTCCATTGTAACACCATATGCACGATGACGTGCCCCCACTGATGTGAGTATTTGTTGCGCCACGTCTGGCTTCTCGTATAGATAAATAGCCGTTGCAAGCATCCTGCTAAACGTAATCGCCTGCTCACCCATTTCAACACCATAAAACAGTGCCACCGTTCTCGGGCTCTTAGATAACATGTCCTTGTACATCTCCTGGGCAAAGCGGTCCATATCACCCTGCTTCTCAATCAGCTGCCACGTCCCTAACGCAGTCACATTCTTCGACCTGAGCATCGCACGCATGTTGTCCAGCTCCCGCGAGAGCAGTAACATAGCCTCTGTCTCATCCGCGTCAAGTGCTGTGGGTCCACCGCGCTGCCGCATGTGCAGCTCATGCACTGCACGGCCTATTATTCTACAGAAGTCATCCTGGTCAGTAGGTTTAGGATCATCAGTGGTCGTGGACTCATTCCGAGCCATGCGGTTCATGTCCCCCTTGCTCACAGGGACTTTGCTTAACTGCGTGTCATCTCTGGTCATACGACGGGATTGGACGAGAGGAGTTTTCTGCGGCTCCACACTCGATGCACCACACCCCATTTGTTTTTTGCTGACTGTATACAGATATATATACCCTGTCCAGTTATTCTTATCTATTAATCAATGTCTTTTTCTCTAAGTATGTATGTTTGTGAATATATATATATATATATATATATATATATTAAATTATGTTAACCTTCTTTACTATTTCTTTTTTTAGTTTACTTATTTAACTTCCTCGAACCGTATATTCCCGTATTTAACAGAAAGCCACCTGTAACGGTGTCACACAACTCCCACAAGTGAATGAAAAAGGCAACGCAAACAAAGGCACAAAACAGCACCACCAAATACAGCAACAAAAAGCAAAAACAAAAAAAGAAAATAAACAGTGGAATCTATTGTCTCTACCTACAATAAAAACACTTTCCTTCTTCAACTTGAAGGCACAATAAACAAGTATTCCTTGAGTGTTTTGGCTGTTTAACAACGAACCATGACACGGAAGAAGAAATCCCAAGGAAATGGTCACAGAAAGAAGTAGAGAATGAAACATATAAAAAATGGGATGAAAGCTAGAAGTCCACCTGTAATGGACGCCTTCAAAACTTTTTGATTTGTATTTGAGGGTATACTCTCCCATAAGAAGATGGTATCAAACAGGTGCAATTAAAAATAAAGAAACATAAAACCAAGAAAGCAATTATAAGTAAGGGAGACACTTTAAAAGAAGGGACACAACACACCTCTGTATCGACTCTTTGGTTCTGTGTATGTCTTTTGGGATTTTTCTTCCTTTTTGTTACTATAATATCACTGTTACCATATATATATATATATATATATATATATATATACCTCGTACATCGATAATATTGCCTAGTTATATTCATTTTTGTCAGAAAATAATCTTGGGTTGGTGTGTAGCATCATCTCAATGCTATTCACTCCATAGTCATCATTGCTCTCGTCATTGGAGGATGTTGTTATTATGTAGTTCGAGGGGTCATGCAAATTCCTTGGTGATTGTTCCAAGGGATTTCTGCGTTTGGTACATGGTCTCTCCTCATTTTCTGTAAAAGCTTCTGTTACTCTTCTTCTTGCTGTCGTTGTTGACGTTTCTTTCGAGAGAAGAGAAGAGAGTCTAGCTGTCTTGTGCAGACAAATGTTTTCTGTGGGCTGTAGTTCCGCGAAATGATTTCGGAGTCGGTTGAGTACATCATAGTGACAGGTGCCGGGATTGAAGATGTTTGGTTGGAACCGCACCGCCTCTTCGAATGTTGTGTGGCGAAGAAAACTCACCCGGGCAAGTATTCGATTCCGGCGAAATGCGCGTCGTAATGTGCGTGCCATTATGATGTCCGTCATACTACGTTCGTTGTCCTTCTCAAATGCCTTCACTGCAGAGTACATCCGCCAGAGAGATTGCATGAGTGTCGCCCCACGAATGCGTTGCGCTACTTTAAAAAACTCAAGCCAAATTTTAGATCCCACGGAGGAGTGTGGTGGGAATTCAGACTCCAAAAGGGCGAGTACTTGCACCAGTCGCAGCGGCGGGATATATCGTGAAGTAGAAGAAACTGTATTCCTCTCATGATCACCCGCATGCGTCTCTTCTGGGTAGACTGGTAATGCTGTGAAGGAAATACGACCAGGACCTCCAATACTGTATACATCCCACTCATCTGTGTACTCTGCGACACAGCGTGCCCGTTTTTCTGCTATTGGGAGGAACACAAAGAGTTGTTCAAGTATAAACATCAATCGACGCTGCTGACCAGGTTTGAAGAGACAAAGCTCCTCAAGAAGATGAGGCAAGAGCCACATGGGAATACCACGGGTACGAAATACACGTGCGAACTTTCGCTGTTGAATTTTTTTGCGATCCTCAGGGCGCATGTCATCGTGCAAACGAGCACCAACATCAATAATGGCTTCTGTTCCCCCACGTAGTGTCTCGTAGAGAAATGAAGCTTGTTTTGGCATTGAGCCAAAAATAAGAAAACGCAGAGGAACAAAGAAAGCCCCAATCGTAAGACCAAGTACTGAGGCAAGTACTACTTTCCCAATAATAGCAAGCAGTAGAAGAAACGATGAAGATGTGTAATCCCTTGTTACTATACGAATACTTTCATTCGATTCTAACATATCCTGCACAATTTGAGTGTAATTTGGAGGTGTCCACAACGTGTTTATGAGAACAGGTCCGTCTGATGTAAAGGTTTGTCTACAAAGATCACCAAGTGCATATGCCCACAAGTGTATAGACATAGGAACTCCTGTATTACCCACATATGTATCAGCAAGTGCACTCGCAGCACCAACAAAATATACTATAACACAACCTCCAGCAAAGAGAAGTACTTCCCCTCTTAATGCAACTGAAAGTACATACTGTCGAGGAAGCATTCGAAGCAATAGTATAAAGCGTAAAGTTATGAAATATAAGGCATATGAATTTGGATCAATAAGACATGAATTCCGTTCCACCAACAGCGTCAAGGCTAACGGTAATGCACATGACCAATATAATAATTGAACTAGTTCTGCAAAAAGAAGCATAGTGTTTCCCACCAAAACGCTCTTCTCCAACAGACCTTGCGGCATACAGTTCCAGGCAGCCCATGAACTACTGCAACGATGTACAGCAAATACAAGACGGAAAAAACTATCAATAAATCCCACAAATGTAAAGAAGGTTTCTATTGTAAAAAAAATTTTATGATCATCTGAAGTGGCATCTGTTGTAGGGCTCATAGTAATACCAAATAGCAAACTAAATATTAGAAAAACATGTCCTATCCAACGAAAGTAAAAACGATACGTCTTAAATCGTGCTAATGTAAGAGGATCTTCTAATAATTGAATGGCATTAATTACGAGGCACTGAGAATCAAGGAGATTAGTGTTAACCCATCGTAAATATGTTAACACTGTTGCCACACAACATGCAGGAAGTGTCCATAGATTAAATAAAGAAAAAAAGATTCCCATATCTTCACTAAAGTAGTAAACAAATAAATCTCGAGTATCATTTCCATTTGGATACCATTTATTTCGTCGAGGTTGAGAAGCCAAACGTCTTGGTAGAGACCACATCTCCCCAGTTGTCTCATTGTTTTTTAAAGGATTATAATTATGAACTAAATATATTTGCGATCGAAGTAATTCTACAATACACAGAGTAACACCTGTGACTATTACAGGAAAAAATACACTAGCTGCGGATTTAAAAAAAACACTTCGCATACGTGTAAAACGATGTATCCTAAATAAAAATGGCATATAAATCTGACCCAATCGAATAAGTGAGAGAAATCTAATACAAAAAAAAGCATGATAATTCTTATGATGACTGTATTGTAATCCCAGTGAACTTGCTAAAGCAATCACACTCACTAATGTAAGAACAGCGGAAGCATCCCTTGGAATGAGTATAAGTGAGGAAATCATACTCATTGTATGGAAAACAATAGTAATTACCGCTATAGGATCTTTTAACGAAGAAGAAGCATCTACAACCCATAGAAATATTACTGATATGATAGTCAAAATCGAATTAATATAGTGTAGAATAGGTTTACGAAGAGCCCGTCTTAATCGAAGTAAATTTACGTGTTTTGCTACAGATGGATTATGGTAGAGCTCATTTTCTTCAAAAGATGCAAATTGAGACCTTGAAACTATACTTTCCTCAATATATTTATCCTTCTCACCTTTACAACCACATGCTATAGGACTAATATAGCTAGCACTAGATATAAAAACCGATGACCATAATGGAAATACTGTACTTCTTCGGTATTCTCTAGATTTACGTCTCACATCATACACCCACATACGCAATCTTGTGATAATCGCAGCAGGAAGTTCACAATGTAGTCGCCAGTGCGAAAACCATAGAGGACCTTCAACGTAACTATTAATATATTCAACAACATCGTGATGTAAACTTTGTACGACTAGTCGAATAAATCGTCCAATAAAACTTGATAACTGTAATAACGGATGTAGTGCAATAGTAACGGCAAATGGAACAAATACTAATTGAAAGATAATAATAATAACACAAGCTACTGGGGCTTCATTAGTCACATTAATATGTGTAGAAGTCCATGCAGGCAATAACATTTCCCGTGCACTTTTAAGAAAACAGCTTACTTCGCTATGACAAATACTTTTCCCTTTTGTCTCCACATCAAATTGCCACATGGCAACAAAGCAAATCATCCACATAGTTAGAAAAGATAATAATATATAGGCAACTCCATAACGTGTCATACCAGATACCTGAAATACATTGGACCATCCCTCACAGACACGAAGACAACGAAAAACAACAAATGGTATCGCAGGTGGAATAAACCCTACCATCACACAGAAAAGACGAATAATAAGCCGAATATAGTGACTACATATAAATTCTATGCGGAGAAATGCGAAAGAAAATATGAGTTCTATTGCAAAAACAATACTAAATGCCATCTCCATCCAATAATTGTTTGGTTCAATAACGGCCATAAGAACAACCGCTACAACAAATACTGTAGTTTCTTTCTTACCCACATGTCCTATCCATTGTCGCCGTAAAAGTTTTTCAGTAAATGTTCGACGGTCACGCATCCCTAGTGCTGCTTCAATAATACCAATATCATACTTAAATCGTGATTCTGGGTGTTCATTACGACAATCCCACTTTCCCCAGTCAGCGGTAATAGGCACAGCAAGCATTGATGCTCCCGTTCTATTTAAATTTCCAAGATCCATTCCACCAGCAATAACACTATCCTGCACTCGTCGCACAAATCGATGAACGGTGTTATCGGCTTTATGATCATAATGAGATGCATCAATGGCTTCCTTCGCCGCACGGACATCTGCTTCCCACAAGAGACCATCTAATTGTTTACCCAATGCCGTCATATTTTTGGCACGATGTGCTTCATTAAGAAGTTCCATCTTTTTGACATCTCTAAAACGACTTTTATCTTTTTTTAGTTTTGTTTCATCACTAATATCATAATGCTTTCGAATTGCATCATGTACACCAAGAATCACAGCTGTCCAAGTCCAAAATAAGAGAACTACATTAGCAACTAATAATGGTATAATAGGAGTTCGTTCCTGTAGTAGTATATAATCTCCTTCTATATGGTAATGTTGAGACATCCGCATTTGAGCTGGGAAAGAAGGTAATGAAGGAGATTCCACTTGATCAAATGATTGAACTCGCTTATCTAGTTTCTCAACTTCATACTGTGGAGAAAATGTACTCCATACCGCGAGAAAAACAGCTCCCCAATTTCCAGTTCGTGTTAAGAGTGCATCACTTATGGCTAAGCCACGAATAGCTGATCCAATACCAGCAAGACCTAATGGAGACAATAGAATGAGATGAAATCCAGCTTGCTCAATAGCTCGACAATAAGTACCTGTTCCTGAATGTTTAGGAAAAAATTCACGAATAACAAAAGGGAACTTTAATATGAGTAACATAAGAATACACACTCCACTGCGACGTTTAACGCAGGCACAAATAAAACCGGTGAAAATAATAAAACAATCAAAGAGTCGCCATAACTGTAAAGGCATAGCCAATTGCATTAAAAAGAGTATTAGGCTTACTAAAATATCAACAGACATGGTAATATGAACATTGGATGATTCCGGTATCGCACCAAGAAAGACAAGCATAAATGAAGCCAAAAGAAATTGTATAAGTAAAAACCATTTTAGCATACGTACTTGCAGTTTCTGTAAACGTTCAAGTTGACTTTCGAATCTAGTATTAGGTGGACGCTCACGTTTTTTACGAAAAACAATTTCGCAAAAAACTGCACAAAAATTTTCTCTCCATAACAATTGTGTTACTGCACGCATCACCCCACGAATTCTTTCCTTTACACGATTCTGCAGTTTTTCGATAATAAACAACTTAACCCGCCGTTGAAAGCAGCAACGTTCAATTTCATAGTGAATAATATCAATTGCTTTACGGCGTCTTTCAGGTACAAACTGTCTCCATTTTCTCTGAATCATCAAAATACTATCAATCAACTTCATACATTCTTTTCGTACAAAGTAACCACGTCCATGTGATTGAATGCATAGCACAGCCTCAGGTACATTTGTTACCGTATCTTGCAACCACTCATGTAAGAGCAATTTTCTCATCTTTCGTTTTCTATACTGACGATAGTAGAACAGTATTTTTGCAGCAGCAGAAAGTTCCTTATTCTTTTGTGATGTATTTTCTAGACCATTATTATCATTACTCACATACTCTACTACTTCAACTAAATTGTCCTGTAGAATAGCGCCATCAGAAACAACATTAACAGAGACGACAGATGTTTGAACAGGGGCCTTCTCTTCATAAGCTCTGAGAGGTATGAGTACTACAGATGACTGTACCTGTTTTTTTTTCTTTTCCTCTTCTTCTTCTTCTTCTGCTTTTCGCTTTATCATTATTAGTCGTTCTTTTTCTATACTTTTTATTTTGACAATTTCTTCCACTGCTTGTGAAACTATAGATCCCCTTTCACTATGTTCATGTAACCAAATTTGACGACGTCCATCCTCCTCTTTATTCACATAACGCGTTCGTTTCGATAAGTAACGCCTCAATAAACTATGATATTTAAGAAAGGTACGATATAATCGGCGCCAACGTTTACCTTCCTTTTCAATTATTTTGCCACGTTCACCATCTTCTAAGGATATTAAGTTACTATCCAAAATGGCAAAAATATCTCTCGCTTCACGAGCACCACTTCTCAATAGGACTTCTAGAAAAGATCCACTATATCTTCCTGATTTTAATACCACATCTAATACCGTCTCATTATTGAGATTTGTTGTGTTTAACAAGTGTATAGATGCCTCTTGAGCAGTTACCCACTTTACAAACTCAAGTTGTTCTCCTTCAGGAATATTCATGTTTCGCATTAAGCAATGAAGAAAAGTATCTCCATTGTGATCCTGTATTTCTGTCATTCCATATGATGCAATAAGAAGTACAAGTGAAGTGAGAGTACTATTAAACTTTGCACATATATGCTGTGGTGTTTGTCCAGTAGCATCTGTGCAAAATATAGGTTTTTTTGAACCTTTGAGAAGCACCATAAGGCACTCATCAGAACTATGAGCAGCAACCATATGTAAAACTGTTTTGTCATTATCTTCTTTGTTAACAACATCCACGTCCGCCCCGTCATCAAGAGCCCTCCGCATACCCTCGACATTCATTTCTTTAATAGACTCTAGTAACAGTTGTGTGGGGACATCAAGGTTAGCGGAACACCGTATCGCAGTAAAGTCTTGCGTTTCCCCACATACATTGCTCATCTCGGTGAAATGGCATGCATGCAGAAGACACTACACTCCAGAGAAAAGAGAAAGAAAGAGAAAATAAGAAAAAAATCAAAATAAAAAAAAAAGAAAAAAAAAAAAAAGAAACGAGATGTAATGTTGAGATAGGGACAGAAGACAAGGTAAGGAAATTTTTCTATTTTTCATAACAAATAATACAAAAACCTATACAGGTCAACAAGAAAAGAAAAAAAACATACAATTACAGAAAACGCAGACACACAGAAAACCAACAAAAAGAAAAAAAAACAGAAAACGAGAGTTCATAAGTGTTATGAAAATATTACAAAATCTTAGAGGAGATGAATTTTTTTTTTCCCGTCAAAGGAAGACGTATATATCAAGTCCCTATTTTTTTTTTTTTTTTACATATCACTCTGATCTTCTGTATGATCCCCTTCTTTGCATTGTTCCTCTTCAGTATTATAGAATAACTGCAATAAGGGATGAACAGGTGAATCTCGTCGACCACCAGTTGGAATAAGTTTCGTGTGATGTCGTGCTTCAAAGGCATCGTAGAAAGTAGTAAAAGCCTGAAAACAATGCGTACAACAAGAAAGAAGAGATTTATGCATTACTCGTTCCGATATGCGTAATTCATCATCTATATGTAATTTAAATGCTCTTAGTAATTGACGCATTTTTCCATGATGTTCACTCACCTGACGAAGTAATAAACGATTCTGTGCTACCTGAGAACTCCTGGGAATATCCTTTGCTCCCGTAATAAATGGTTCATTGTATATAACGATTCTGGCACAACTGAGTACAGACCTTAAATATCTATATTGCGCATCTGCTGTTACCTCAGATGTCCGCACAGAATCTACCAGTGCAGTGAGAATAGGCCCAAATACTTGCCCTCGTAATACACTCGCAACATTCATAAATTCTATGATAGCCTCTTTTACTATTTGTATATCCGTATCTCCTACAACATAACGTCGTGTATCCTCATTCTGTTGAAGATACTGCTGTTTTTTTCTTTCTTCTTCTTCTTCTTCTTCTCCATTTCCTCTAGAAGAAGTTGACAAATTAGATGGTGTACTCCATCCCTCACAACCATACCGCATAAGTTTCCCCTGTGAGCGTCCAAGCAGCTCTACAGTAGACTCAAAGGCTTCTACATCTTCTATTAGTGCTTCCCGAAGGGCTACCGCGGCATCTTGTGCTCGCTTTAATGCCTCCATTCTTGCTCGAACAAACAAAAATTTCGTTTTCAATGTTTGAGGTAGTCGGTCTGCATTTGCATCCATAAAAGAAATATCATCTGATAGATTAATTTCCCCTGATATTGGTTTTGGTGCATTCCAGCCAAACCATGATGATTCTCTAGGTCTAAGAGCATCGTTCAGGTTGCATTCGTTTACTTGTCTTCGATGTACAAGTTCTTCTAAAAGGTTAAAGAAGTTAACAACACTTCTATCATCTACTTCATAGAAGAAATAAAGCAGAGGGAGGTATGCACAGAGTTCTTCTGCGTGATTCTCAATAAAGCTTATTAGGGCTCGAGCCACCTGAAGTGTAGGTTCTTTTGCTACAGGCACCAAAAGATGTGGGAAACTTACTTGTAATACACTAAGAAAAACTGCCAACTGCTTTGGTGATCGTTCAAAGCTATATTTTCTGTGTTGAAAAGTAGATACAAACCTAAACCATATCCCCTTTTCCGTCATATCATCTGTTGACGCCGACGGACGTGCGCTCCTGTTATTCCATGAGACTTGCATACAGCATGTACCCCCGGAGCGTAGCACCTCCGCGGCTGTTGGCAACTCCTGCTGGAGTGGATTCCAAAAACAGCGCAGGGTTTCAAACGGGGCGAACAACATAGAAGGACGCAGACGGGCAGCGATTGTTTCTACAATGGCGACTGCTGGCTGACGGCTGACAAGTACATCCGCCTGCGGGGCACATTGATGCAACTCCGCCGGCGACCACCCACCGTACACAACCGTGCTACAGTCAAAGTCAACTAACACACATGTCATATGAAGCTATGAAGCTATTGGATATATATATATATATATATATATATATACCTAAGGAGAGAGAGAGTGTGTGGGTGTGTACCCCCTCTGTCTCTCCAGGACTAGTCTGGGGAATGTACTTAAATGGAAACAAACGAAAAAATACATACATTCATACATTTAGTACAAAGGCAGAAAAGAGAGGGAGAGAGAGAGAATATAGATAAGGAAATAAGAAGGGGTGCGAAGAAAAGAAAAAGAAAAGAAAACACAAAGAGAGACAAAGAGAGAGACACACTTTAGTAAAATATGAATAGAATGTTGCACAGCAAGGCAATGCAAATCAAAAAAAGATGTGTTACCCATAAAAATAGGATCTAAAATAACCTATAAATAAGACAAGTCAGATTTCATATGTATTCCAGTAAATACCGGTAATAAGAAATACACCTGGGTCTCAAAAAAAAAAAAAAAAAAAAAAAAAAATGTTTTTTTTTTTCTTTTCCTTTACCTTTCCCCCACCTCCACCTCCTCTTATCTATCAGCAGAGCTGCTGTATTATTATTACTTGAGTCCTTCAAGAAAACAGTAGCTGCTAGATCTTGCGTAAACACCTGTAGTATTACCTAATGTAATGATCTGTCCTGGGCAAAAGAATCCCGATGTTGGGCAGTATTTTCCTACACAGCGTTGGAGTAGTGAAGGGGCAAAAAGAACAGTAGAGTTTCCAAGTGTTACATTTACTTCAGGACGTGCGATAACATTCATACCACCATGTGAAAAGTGAAATGCAGCAACAGATGATGCTACAATATTTTTACGTGCCTCACGAGCTACAGTTATGTCTTTTGTAACGTGAGTAACAGAAAGTTTTTGTTGTAAACCAATAAGAAAACTAGCTGCAGCTTCAGAATCCAATTCTGTTTCATCTACAACCAAGTCAATACTATCTCCATTCTTTACTTCTACTCCCTTTGGAGTTGTAAAGTGTAACTGACCGCTCTCAGGATGACCAATAAAAGAGAGAGGAATACAAACATTATCGTGTCGGATACCAAGGAATACTTTAGATGTTTTTCCTTGTAAATCGCTGGAACAGTAAACATCTTTAATAACTTCTGTAGCTTTTCGACCATCTAAAGTCATAATGTTGTAAACCCCATCTGTACAACTCACAGAAGTTACTTTTACTGTATTTACACTGATTGAGGGGACAACATTTACTTGATGTCCTTTCAACAGTGAACTTCGTAGAACTACACCTGCCGCACTTCCAGTATACACACGATCATTAATAAAGAAAACAGAGTCTCCCATTTCATTCATTACTGAGTCACCATCATTATTTTCACTACTCTTTACTTTATTACCATCATTTGTCTTGTATGCTGGAGGACAAACACCTCCTACAACGGGTAATCCATGAAGTCGTTCACCCAAAACTTGAAGGTGACCAGAGAGTACACGTTCATATTGTAGTGCTAACTTGTTATCTAATAATGAAAAACACATAGCTGGTGGTGGTCTGTTAGATTCTGTGAAATCCTCTACTTCAGGAATCGCATCAAAAGTAAAGACATCACTTTCCAAGTCGGGTATACAACCAAGTAATAATTGAATATAACCACCTCCAGGTCTCTGATGTCGTACAGCACCACCCACCATGTGAAGTTGTTGTGGTTTTACAGTTGATGGTGTAACGCCGTTAACTTTGCATAAATTATACCATACAACTTCAGGAGCATCCATCATTCCAGCATAATCCAGTGAAACACTCATAAAGCAAAAATTAGGAGGTTGTGGTAGTGCGGCTGCAGCAACATCAAATGCCTCAGCAGCAGCTATTCGTGGTCTGTGATCGGCACTTGCGGCACTTGTGAAAACAACAGACCTTGTATCTACAGCCAACTCTCGCTTACGTTGATCCCGTTCATCCGCGGCGAGAATTTCTCGGATAGCTTCAGGGGCATCTACAGTGCTGCCAAAGTAACGGCAAGGAAATCCACAAAGGCGCCGTAGGGAGTGCTCTCTGAAAATAAAGCGTCTCATTAATTATCTCTTCTGACCTTCAACGAGTAATTCTAAATACATACAATATATAGATAGATAAATAGAGAGGGAGGGAGGGGAGAGAGAGTGATATATATAGAGAGAGAAAAGGTGGAAAGGAACGCAAAAAAAAAAGAAATAAAAATCTACATTTGATTTTTACTACATATTTTTATTTTGTCTTTTTTTCATGCTGAAGGAACGTGAAATGTTGCACGTTATACCGACATCCTCATTACACTCTTCTCACGGTACTTTTTTTCTTCTTGTACATTTTTTTTTTTGTTCTTGTACATGTTTTTTCGACTTTACGAAAAGAAAAAAAAGGAAAACCCTACTTTACATCAGGAAAACAAAAACAAAAACAAAACTGAGCGTCAAGACAAGGATATCAAAAGTAAGGAAGGATCGTATTGGATAGTGTATACACAGAAAAAAACAAAAGTAAAAAAAAAAAAAGGAAAAACAAACGAAAAAAGAAAACAAAAAACAAAATAGACATACATAAACTGTCATTGTTTTTTTTTTCTTTTTGGTTGTTGTTGTTGTTGTTGTTTTTATTCCTCTTTTTTTATTTTATCCTTTCATTTCATCTTTCTAAATTTTCCATTCGCTTTCGTACGTGGTGGGGGTCTTCTCTCTTAACGAAGTGCCACTTGTCTTGATACATCTTGGACAAACTTATTGCCTTCTATCACTGTATTATACCCACGACCAGGCTGGTTCGATTTTTTATGTGCCTCTACCACGTTAGGAACCTTACTTGTAAGTAAGAGGGTGTTGGGTCCTTGCATAACGTTGTCATTGACACTAATTTCATTCAAGTATTGTTTAAGTAAGACTTGAAGCTTTTGATTTTCCTCCTCTAGATGATGTTTCTCTTGTGAGATAGCGACATTATCCAGCACCACCTTATTGTATTTTATCCAGAAACGTTCCAACAACCGCCACTCCTCTGAGAATGCGGCTCCATCAGGGGCAAGAGCTTCATCCTTTTGTACTACATCATCACTTGCAATAAGACGTTTTACTTCTTGTTCAATCTCATTTGTAGATACATTTAATTCAAAGGATAGAACCTGTTCACGTTCTGTTTCTAGAGGTTTACTAAGTTCTACCAGTCTCAAGATTTTCTCAGCCCGTTTCGCTACATTACGTAGCTGATCTTCACTATCCTTGGCATTTTTAATAAATTCAGCAAGTCTAGAAGCTTCTTTATTTCTCCAGTTTTGCATTTTATTTTTAAGTGCCTTTAAATGACGAATAGTAGCATCCCTTTCTTGTTGAATGGCACTATTTTTCTGTTCCCATTCTTTAGCATTACGAGCCAAATTTGTTCTCCATGAGGTTACACTTTCTTGTAATTTTTCAATACGTTTAAGCTGCGAAGCAATACGTTCTGTAGTTTCTGCATCTTCCTTTGATTTATCCATATAATCTTTCATATTAACTTGTGCTGTTGTCATAAACTCCTTGTAACGTGTATCTAGTTCAGCTCTTATATATTCACTCATTCGAATAAGTTCATTCTGCATTTGTTTTCTTTCTTCTTCCATCTTTTCCATTGCTGTATCATGTGCCTCTGAGGTATCTTCTTGTAGTTTCTTCTCCAACTGTTCTGCTTCTGTTGCCATATTTTCAAGAATAAGTTTGAGATCGGCCACCTCATATTCATGCTTACGTACCAATTCCATCATTTCCTTCTCGTAATCTCCCTTCATCTCAAGAAGATCCGCCTCAAATTCTCCTTCCAACTCGGCCATGCGTTTACTCTGCATCTGAATGAGTGTATCCACTGCGGTCATGTGGGCATGAAAGACAAGTCGGTGCTGCTCCTCCACCTGATCCAAGTCATCAAACAACATTTCAATAATGGCGTTCTTCCGATCAATGGCCGTCTCGAAGGCCCGCCGCACCATTTCAATCTCCGCCACGAGTTCCTTCCGCTTGCATTCCCGCAGAAAAATCATCCATCGCGCCTCCACGGCGACCTCCGCCTCGCGGGTCATGGCGGCCTCTTCGCTCCGCATCTCCTGCAGGCGGGCGACGAGAATATTTTCCTGCCGCCGCCGCCGCTCCGCCTCCTCCACGCGGGCCTGTTCGAGAGCCACGGGGTTCACGGGCTTCTTCGCCCGTCGCTTTCCCTTCTTTTTCTCTTCCACTGGCATGCTGGGCAATGGATGTATATATATAATTAATGCCCCTCTCTCTTTCTTTCTTTCTATCTATCTATCTATATATATATAAGAGTTTGTTTCTTTCTTTGTTTTTTTTTTTTTTTTTTTTTTTTTTTTGAAGGGGGTTAGATAAATAAGAAGAATAAGAAAAAAAAAAAGAGAATTAAAGTGTAGTGAAGAGTTCTTTGGGATATGAGAGTAGTTTTTTTTTTTTTCTTTTTTTTGTAATAACATCGGTATAACACAGAATAATAAAAAAAAAAAAAAAAGGAAGAAGCAATAATGAATGTTTGTATATCTTTTTTGTATTTCTTCTTGTTTTTCGTTTTCATTTCATCTATACATATGTAACAGTATTTTACTATACAAGTTCAGATTCGTTTCGTTGCATAACATATCGCCAGTCAATAGGAGTACGTCGAAAGAGAAATAAAATATTTGAAAAGATACCAGCGTTAAATGGATTACCCTTTCGAGAACTAAGGTATGTAATACGATGGCGACTAGAAAACTCCCACATTGTCTCATTTCTCAAAAGTATCGCAGCATGCATGACAAACAAGATAAAGACGAATAAGGTTAAAAATGCACAGATGAGAAGAACTAAAAAAGGAATAATATTGCGTACAATAGCGGCATCGACTGTAGCATGACCATGAAAATTAAAACAACTAAACAAACTACAGAATAAAAAGAGCAAGTACATTAACGCCACTGTAAGCAGTAGAAAGAATCGAAGATGATTTGACTCCCCTACACATCCTCCAATCCATACACAATGATGATCAAACTTACGTACACAACGTTCACATCGCACACAATGTTTAGAACGAAGAGGTTGCCATATTTGACACACTTCACACCAATGAAAAAGTTTTTTATCTTCTGGAGTTAATACATCCATCGATTCCGACACAAATCCAGGATCGGGATTCCAATTCCACACCAGTACTACGTTAAAACAGAAAGCCCAAAATAACAGCATGAGGATACGTTGTCGGTCCAACTGAGAACAAAAAAACAAGAGAATCACTACAAGAATTTGTGCTCCAATAGTAAATGCAACGGAAAAAAGAGAGGCTGATTTACTTTCCGCAGCTACTGCACGATTAGATGCTGAATCCTTATCATCGCTCCTACGCGCAAAGATAGAGGTACGATTCCCCCACAGGGGCATAGATGCCATCCCTAGACTATCACCAGTCAAAGGAAAAGGTCTAATAAATCTCATAGGTGCAAAAAGAAAAAAAAAAAAGAAAAAATAATAGTAGTGATTGTAATTACTATAACAATAAAATAATAATAATAATAATAATAATAATAATAATAATAATAATAATAAAACACATTATCCATGTAGAGTAACGTCTTTTATTTTTCTTCTTCTTCCCCACACACCCACACACACACAGAAACATACCCATCTCTATCCCCTCTAAGAAGCCACCTTCCAAGTAACAAGTGTAGCCTTTCGATCACAAGCAGCCAAAAGAGTCCCACAGGGATTGAGTGCCAGTGATTCAATACAGTCCTCAAGCGCAGGGTGAGTGAGTTCACATATCAACTGCAGATTTATTTCCTTCAACACTCGCACACTTGTTCCATATCCAACAAAGACAACTCCACCAACGGAGAGAAGAGCAGTAGCAGGTCCATTAGCAAGTTCAGATGAAGCCAGAAAAGATCCATTAAGGGAATAGAGTTGAACAGCATGTGTTCCACCATTTTTTGAAGATCCCGCTAATATAATATCCCCTTCTTTGGCATTTACTGAAATAAGATTATAGTGCCAATCATTTTCATCTTGACATCGATGTTGCCAGATATGTTTTGTTAAAAGAGATTCCTGATATCTTACTGATATTGAGGGATATGATGAAATGGTTCGTAGCAAAAGATAACGATTAATATCCCATACAGCTACATTATTATCTTCAGCGGATGATACTAAAATACCCCATTCTGATGAAACAGAAAGAGATGTTACGGATGCGGTGTGTCCATACAAAACACAAACACGCCTTTTAACATGACCTCGTACTCGTGTAAGTTTAGATTCCCCATGTAGAATCTTTTCAGCTACATCTATCATATTTATTGGTTCTCCATTCCCATCTTGCATAAGTAATTCAATTTCATTCCATTCTTCACCATTAATTTTTATAACGTGTATGGCTCCAGATTCCATTCCAACATAAACAGTAGGTGAATCCACAGCAAAGGTGTTAATTTTTCCATTACTCACATGAAAAGAAGAAATTTCTCTTGATATATCTTTTCCATCCAAAAGAAGAATACAATTCTCTCGATAGGAAAGATAATTTTTTACTTGATCATTTACTACTTTAAAAGGTAAGCAATTTTTAGGTAATACCAAAGGTCGAGTTTGTGAAAGTGACTGAGAAAACTTTCTTTCACCACTTTCTTCTGCCCCAAGAGCCGTTATCGTATGTTTGGAACGAGGAAATATGATTACAGTTCCATCTACCTTACAATACTGTACTGGAATAAGTTTATCTGGATGTAGAATAACACAAGATTTTGAATGGGAGGCATTGTAGCGTAGTGTAGGGCAAGGACTTTGAATAAAAATAGAATCCGTTGACTTTATACGTGGTTTGTGTGGATGAGTAAATAATTGTAATGGTACTTGACCAAAGCAATCAATCTGTGTTTGATGACTTGATCGAAGAACAGGATCTGTTATGGTGAAAAGATCCACAGATCCTTCATATGTTAATGGATGAAATACGTTTACTGCAGCTACGGCTTCCTTACCTCTTTGTTTATAACCAAATATTAAATCAATCCAAAAATGTAAATTTTCTGAAGTATAACGACTTTCAAGTGCTTCTCTTAACATGAAGGTTAATTCACGTGGGGTAGAGGCCCATGGTGGAAGCTGAACATTATTTACAACAACTCCATCTTGTTTTGTTCCAAAAGGTATACAATTAGAATTAATAAAAACATCCGGTAAACAATATAATTCTGGTAAGAGTTCTTTTACATCTTTTCCTGTTGAAATCCTATAAGCCGCTGCCATAGAGTCAAAAACACGTCCAGCATCATCTAACGTAGAGTTCATATCCACAAAATAATTTGTAAATGGTTGTACACGCACAAGATAATGAAGTGCACCGCCAAGAGGGGAATAGTGAGATCCATAATGATGAGGCATTAAATCCATAGATACACTATTTCCTTCACCTTCTGCTATAGTAGCAATATCATTATATTTTTCAATTGCCTTTTGCTCTCGATCAACTGTTTGAGCTCCCATGGGTTTATGAAATCGACGAAAAGAAGCCGCAGATGTTAAATCTAGAGTATCAGATACAAAATCCGCTATCACATGAGGAAAAACGGGATATTGACGTAAATCCCCGTATGAACGACCCGCAGCAAAATTAAGAAACATTAAATAATGAAAATTTGAGATACGTCCTTCACACCACCAGTTACGCCACATAGACAAATTATTATCTGTTAAAAATAATTTTTTATCAAGATATCGTCGTGCCACGTTTCTAATAGTATTAGAAACTTGTTCTTTTATTTCTTCAGAATTAAAGGCTATAAATAAAGTTTCACCTGTAGAGAGTAATAATTCTAATGCACAAGGTTGAAGTAAATTACGACGTGGCCAAACAGCTCGTACAGTAGATATATCTATAACTCTTTGAAGGCAAGGAATTTCATGTTTAGATTGAAATGTTTTTAAAAGTTGGGCTAAAGGATCATATACTTTACCAAGAATAGAAGATTTCTTCTTCTCTTGTTCATTTAAAAATATTCCTTCTGATTCTTTTTCTAATTCTGTCAAACCATTTTGAAAACATTCTACAACATATGATATATTATGAGATGTGATGTTTAATATGATTGAAATACGATCCATAGGAAGTATTAATTCACAATTTATTCTAAAAACATTTCTTCCTTCAATACGACTCGTTAGTAACTGTGGAATAGCTGTAATAGAATATATTTCCAATAATTTTACATCATCTATACTACTACTACTACTACTACTACATCTCATATCTTCTCGATAAATAGGTTGTAGAAATTGATCCTCTGTATTTTCCCTCATATCTGTTATTCTAACATTATGAATAAATCGACGAAGACGTATCCGTTGCCACTCTGTTCCCATGAAATGATCTAACTCCCAACGGTTTAAAGGTACAGTAGATTGTGTATAAAGATGAATACAATATCCCCACCATGGTAATAAAGAAAAACGATAAGCCGCATGAGCAGCTAGAATTGCATTTCCATCTTCTTCTATCGTCTTTTTATAAAGGGTAACACTTCTATACACATACGACTCAAATTGATTCTTATCCATACTTGTCTGTCCATGATGGTGAACGATTCTATTGGGATCTACAGTAATAAAGGTGGGTGGTGTGTGTGAGCCACACCGCTGTAATAGTGAAAAGGCAAAGTTTCGAGACTTTATCGCCGACTTCTCCAAAGCGGCCACACCATTACGAGTGAGTTCAATTCCCCATAAAGATTCACGCCATATATTGTTTGAAGTCTCATCTAGAGAATTCTGGTAATCTATCTTTAATGTCGCATCCAATTCCATCACAGATGAGGGTGAAACTCCACCTTTGATAAGTGACCAAATATTAGAATTAAAACGAATAAGACGACATAAAGATAAAGCCATACTTAACTGAGGAGTGTTTTCTTGTATAGATGAATGAAGTAAACTGGAGGCTGCCCTTAACACAACTAACCAAGGAGCAGATTCCTTCATCACATCACCTGGAGATGTTTTTAAAACTTCTAATACTAATGTATTAGAGGATAATAATAAATATTTCCATTTAGAATCACTAGGGGGTTGTACAATCATTTCTTGTTTTTCCCAAGTAGAGTAATTAAATCCATAATCTATACTTCCACTATGAGAAAGATGTAATAAGATTAATTCTCTTACAATATCATCATCATTCTTTTCAGCATTATATAATATAGATGAGACTACTTTCCATTGTAATAGTAAAAGTTCCTCACAAAGTCTATTTAGTCGTTTCTTAGGCATTATCGTTACAAAACTCTGTGTTTGTAAACCAAAGAAAAGTTTATGTGTACACTCAAAAAGAGGTAAAGCAAGACAAACTCCATTATGTCGTCCACTAAGAGAAAGTGATTTTCCAAACCGTGTAAAATAGGCTTTTGCAAGTAATTGATCTGTCCAAGTGTGATGGTTTATCATTCCCTCAGGAAAATCAATAGAATCAGATTCACATGAATCTAATAAAATCACAATAGATCCAATCGTTCGGAGAAATAATAAATAATCCTGTGCAAAAGATTCTGAGAATCCTTTACTCGCCAATAAAGCAAAGGTATGTAAACAAGGTACATAAAGTTCATGGACTACAAAGTATATTTTATGAATATCTAATTTCCTTCTATGGTGGTTCTGATCTAAACATTTAGGTTCCCATACATTTTTAAGAATGATTAAAATTACATCACACAACATATCACCACATCTTTTTCCTTCTTTACTCCAGGAAACTTCAATCATATATAAAGAAATATGAGTAAGTAGTTCAATCAATAATTTCATCATATTTGTATGATCCTCTTTTAACCGAGAGAGAAGACCAAGTAAATATCTTTGTAAAGAAACCTCCATATTATTTCCTGTTTCAGAAGGAAAAACAAGATCATATGCAAGAGATCCTTTAGTTTTAATAATATGATTTAAAAGAGTTATAACTCGAATTTGAAATTCATCTTTCATATGTAATAAAAAAGCAATGAGAAATATAAGAAGTTTTCTTGCCTGTGCAGTATCCCCAATAGAAGTACTCTGTTCAATTACACTAATAATAATATCAAGTTCTCCTTTTGAAAGACATAATTTATTATCATCTAAGGAGGAATCTTTTCGTAAAAAGTATTCATTTATCATTAGATCCAATTGTTCTTTTGATATTTCTATACAAGACCATAAAGAGAGTGCCATACACCGTATAGCTTCATTTGAACATTTTAATAATATGACCACATCCGAGGCGAGATCTTCCTCTTGTAATTTAACAGATCTATTTAATTGTAATAAACTATGAACCACTCCTAATAATCCAAGGGCCCATTCAATGGCACTACGTGTGGGTTTCTCTTCAGAGATAACAAGAAATATCACAGTTTGTACAATACGTCTTAAATGAAAAGTGGTTTCACATAATGGAATAATAAATTGAATCGCCATAGATATAAGAGAATCATCCCAATTATTATTACTATTACTATCACTATCACTATTACTACAACACATCATAAGATGTAAGAGGAATTCCTCCAACGCATAACAATCATCACTGCTATAATGGGAATGAATCCCTGTTCGAAGAATTTGTGTATTAAAATAACCATACTGTTTATCTTTTAAATAATCTTGTAATTTTTGTAAAATAACTCGAAATGCCCCAACATCTTTAGACCATAATGTAAAGTCAAGCATAAGTGGTAAAAGATCTGTTCGAACAATCATATGATATCCAATAGCTTTACAGAGCGAAATAGCCATTTTTTCACTTATTCCAATTCGTTTATGTAATAACGTTCTCAGTAATATAACGATATTATCACATCTTCCTCCATGTGAAGAAGATAATTGAGATAATAAACTCTCCGCTGAGTGTTTTTGTATAATCGCACATACACATTCCCAGGCTTCTTCAAAGGCATCTGAGCATGGAGTTTGTAAAGATGTTAACCAAGAAAAGAATGGAATCCCACCAATGGCATCTAACATGGAATATAATGGAGAAACATAACGAAAACGTGGTCCATTTACTTTTGCCCAAATAACGCCTAATACCATATTATTATTATTATTATTATTATTATTATTATTATTATTATTATTATTATTATTATTATTATTATTATCCATATTATTCTCATTCACAGAGAGTCTAAGAGGAATAGATGTGATGAGAACATTTTTCGTCAAACGCTCAGATGGTATATGGAAAAAAGTTATATTATCATTATCATATTTCTCCATACTATCTATAGGAGATCCCCAACGTTCAACATTTCCCCGAAGATAAAGTCCATCTTCTGAAATACCAACAATGAGAGGCATTCGTTCTTTATTATAGTACTTATTAAAAGGAAAAGCCGTTCCTGAAAATACAACTTGTCCATCGGTATTATGTATTTCCTGTTGAATCCACATAGAAGATAATAATATCATTTCCTTCGTCAATATAAACCCTTCCTCCTTTTTCTCTTCTTCTTCTTCTTTTTTTTCTTTTTCTTCTTGTACGATATTTGCCAACATTGGATATAAACTCACCACAAAATTTTTATCCATAAAAGCAAATGAAAAAAGATTATCACTTCCCATTGCACAAAGTAATGCCACCTCCAATTTAGATAAAGAACCACCAAATAATCCAAGAGATCCGAACAGAATTTGTGGTGGATAATCATTAACAGGAACACGAGCCATACCCATTGAAATCATATTTAATCCTTGAAATAAATGATCTACACTTTTAAATACCCCAAGAGAAACCTCAACATGAACCATTACTTCTTTTAACAATGGAGTAAATTGATTTCCTGTTGTATATAAAGATATTTGAATATTTAAATGCATTTTTGATAAAAGGGATGCTTTATCTCTTTTATTTCCAAATATAGACATAGATATCATACACCACTGACATGTTGGTACTCTTATATTAGGTATAGATACATCCTTTGAACGTAATTGTCGATTTACTCTTACGGTTAATCGAAGTTTCAATTTTCCACGATCGGAAAGGAATAAGAGTAAAGAAATTTTATTTTGATCAAAGAAATGTGAAAGTAAAATAAACTCTCCTTCTTGCTGTAATGAAGATGGATTAGATTCCACAAGGAACCAAAGAACAGATGAAATACAATTATCCGGTTTTGGTATAGTGAGTTGAATGGGTATATCCACTCCACCGTGAAGATTAAATTCCCTCTTTACTCGATTTATCGCTGGTGTATGAAATATTGTTATGGTTGGAAACCCAATAGAAATTTCAAAAAAAAACTTTGGTTGAGAACAGGGAAGGGAATCATGTAAAAGATTTCTCCATGTGGATAATAAAATCCTTGTAGAAGTCTGATCATACTCCATAAAGGTTTCATTCCGTTTACGTAAACACATTTGAAAAAGATAAAAGATCGTATTCTGATGAATCCCACAAGTCCCTAATTGGCTTATCACTGTTACAAGTTGATTAAAACATGTTAACATGTATGTATGATTTTCATCTATTGCAATTGTAAATAACTCTGCTAATAAAAGAATTGTTTTTAATCCCACTAATAGGCATATATTTTCCAAAGAATTCGAAAATATTTCTATAAAAAGTTGAGTTATGGAAGACCCAAGTAAAGCAGATGATGCCGTTTTAGATGATTCTTTAATGGCTCCTTGTAAAGATTGTAAATACTCAGGATATACAATACGTTGCATATTATAAGTAAATAAATTATCACCATAAGAAGATTGAAATTTCCATTCACAAATTAAATTTTGACAGGTTACCGGAAATATCATTAATTTTTCTTTTAAGAAAAATATTTCATCAAACATAGCATATGAACTTACAGAAGACATACTAATAAAAGCTCGAACTACTATAGATGTATATAATCGACAATGTAAAAAAGGACCTTGAGAAATAGTCCACTTTAATTTACTGGAAAGATCTTTACTAGATACTTCTTCAGCATTTGCCTGAAGAAGTGTTAGTAAATGTAAGATCAGTAGTAAAAAATCACATTGAAGAAGATACTTATCTTTATATTTCTGTGTTCCAGTAGTATCTTTTTGATAACGGTAATGGGTTAATATTTCATTAAATAATTCACAAAGATCATAATATTTTAACTCTGATAAAAAAATATTTTTCATATTTTCACAGAGTCTATATAAGCAAGTAAGTATATTCTCTATTTGAGAAACAAAATAGGTTCGAACATTGGCATTACCTTTTACAGCCTTTATACACGTTTGAAGACCCCAACATCCAGAAACAATAGATCCACTAGATTGAAAATCAGATTCCATAATAAATGCTTGCAGTATCACTTGAACTGAAGATACATTATTTTCAGAATTTAACATAACAAGAGAAATAAGTTCTGAACACTTTAAAAGTAATTTGGGTCCACTATGTACTTCTCTTCTTATGAGAGAAATAACCGTACCTAAGGTTGGTACCATCTCTTTTTGTAAGGAAGGAACTCTTATACATACCTCATGCATAAGTTCTAATACCAAAAGAATCTCATCTGATGTAAATAACCATTGTAATCGTTTATCCAATTCATTAAATAGATGAGCAGAAACCAACATAGTAAAAAATAATTCCTCATTATGAAAAGAAGCTAACGTCATAACCGTTTGAACACCATACGTTAATGCTCTTGAGGATGAACTAGATACAAGTTCCACTATAAAAGCACAGAGAGCATCTGCTCCATGTTTTTGCTTTGTATACATATGGGATGAAGAACATACTATAGTAGATAAACGTACAATAGTCATAATAACAGAACCGAGATTTGAATTTTCTTTTTCTGTACACATACGTATATATCGTGCTATTACATTTACAAGACTATGACTAATTAATCCAGCTATCACTATATCTTTATCACCAACACGAATAGCTCGAATAACAAGTTGGGCAAGATATGAAAAAAGTGTAGGACGATATTCTGCGGCTGCAAGAGAAGCTCGTAAAATTACACGTAATCCAAATAATCCTATGGTAGCACTATATACAGATTGATCTGGTTCTATATCTTCTGATTCCCAATGGGATGCTCTTAAATATAAATAAAGAGAATAACTAGATCCTCTTCCACTATCTGGTAATGAAAGAAGTAAAGAAAGAATATCAAATAATACGGTACTCTCTTCATTCAATGGAGTATTTGGATCTTCATTATGACTACAGTACTGTACAATGGTCGATAAACATACGGAAGGTCCACTAAAGAGAGAAAATTCTTCTACCCATAACTTTGTAAAATTAGATGTATACAATAATATTTGAAGTATACCCCGTAATATAAGAAGATGTGCATCATATCGGTCTGATGGTACATTACTTAATGATTCAATTAACATTTGAATAGGTGATGGATTCATACGAGAAAGAAGTCTACAATTGTTCGCATCTGATAGCAAAAATGATACTGTACGTACAAAGGAACCAATACAGAATCTATAAGAATCCAATTCCTTAGAAAATAATGAAAGTTGCATTAGAAGTGGTAAAAATGAATGAATTCCTGAAAAATTAAATTCTTCCATAATAAGATACCGCATACATTCACGTGGATTTGCTTCTGAAACTAGTTCAATCACTCGCATATAATCCTGTATATAATCACTCCTTAATACAAGATTTTGTAATCGTACCTGAGATCCTAATGTTTGTACTACAACACATAAGAGACGTGTACGTCGAAGTGCATCCCAGACATGAACATGAAGTGAAGATTTACTCATCAACTGGACGAGTAAATGTACGGTTTGATATTCCAAGTTCACATCATGAGAGGCAAAGCAGAATTCAGTAACCGATGCCCAAAACTTAGACACCAGTTGTGTTTCATTCATACAAAGAGCATTGTCTTTAGAATCATTCTCCATTTTTTTTTTTTGTAGCCTTTATTCAATATGTAAACAAAAAAAAAAAATTTAACAGAAAGAAAAGAAAAAAGGAAGGAAGGAGTTCATAGAAGGAAGGAAGTGTACGGACCACTCACAACCACAGTGAATCACGGTATCTCAAACTTGTTTATATAGTATTAGAAATAACAATTAGTTTGTTTGTATGTATGTATGTATGCACGAATGTATTATATAAACAATACATGCATCAAAGATAAATGTATGAAATAATCGCTTCGGCAAACTAACAGCAATAACAAGAACAAATAATCAAGCAATCCATTCATCCATCAATAAATAAATACTTTCAACACCCTATTGTTTTTTCTTTTTTTTCGTTTTTGCCAATTCCATTTCTAGTTTCTGCAACTCAACGGTACGTTTATTTTGTGATAAGGAGCGAATAACCTTATCAATTACATTTTCTTTGATATTCTGAATTCCATGCTCTTTTCGGCACATCTGAAATAATTCCAGGGTAGAGCTCCAGCTATGATTATGTACGGCGTTAATACCTAAAGTGTAGATAATGATTGGAGTCTTTGTTGAACCAGCCTGTGCCGTTTTAACCACTTCAAGTGCCTCTTCCCATCTATCTGTTCTTCCAAATAATGATAACATCACCGAATAAGTGTTATGATCTCTTAAAGAGGGATCAATTTCTTTATAAAATTCAACTGCCTCTTCCCACTCTGGAGATCGCATAAGACTACTCAATACTGCATTGTTGGTCGTTGCATTAATTTGTACCCCGTTTTCTTTCATCTTACTATACAAAGATTTAACAACATCTACTTTTTCTACCGAGGCACTAAGAGCACAATTGTACATAAGAGTTAACGTTTCAGCATCATATCCCTTTTGACCTCCAGAAGGTATAGTATTAATTAAAGTGAGTGCCTTTTCCCAATTCTTCTCCTTTGCACACTGAAGCAACTCTTCAGAAGAGGCGACAACATCTGAAGTCGTTCTCACATTAGAATCATCTGAATCTAAACGTTCTGAAGATGTAGATTCACGCTTTGGTAATGAACTTACTAACTGATCCGATAACGGCTCTCTTCCCACGGCTTTAAAAGCATGATTAATAAAAGCCACAGCATTTGGAAGAGCTGTTGCTAAGGGAACATATGGAGAATAAAAGTCTGCAAGTTCAACAATTTCTTTCGTCATATTTTTTTCATGTAGTAAAGGTAACATTTTCCTTAAAATAAATTTGGCCTTAAAAATAGGACCCTTTTTTAAAAGATGTACGGTAGAACGCAAAGTATCTTCTGTTTTCGAAGCTCTTGAAATAGCTACAGCTGCTAATAAATGGGCACCACGAAGTCCTATCATTTCTTCTTGTCTTTCTACTTCTTTAAATAGTAATTGAGGGTGTTCTGGATCAAATGATTTCCAACATAGTTCCGTAAGAATGGCAGGATCTTCAACATTTAATCCCCGTTTACGAATATCATCAAGAACATCCTTAACATGTTCTTTTGGAGTAATTCGCAATAACTCTGCGTATACTACTTCATCTACATCACTAGAACTAACTAATTGTGAAATCATTTGTCGTCTACGAGGTCCTTTTTCAAGTCTTGCAATTTCTAATTTATGTGATTTTCCAAGTCGATCAGATGCTGTAAGAGATTTTAAAACATAAGCTGTTATCGCTTTTATTGTTTCTTCATCCAAACCTCGAGATACTTTTAATAGTTTTAATTCAAGATAACCATTTTTATCATTGAAACGTTGTTTGGAATGCTCAACAAGTTCTATTGCTTCTTCCCAAGTACCATTATACACCAATGCGTTTACAGCCTTTGAGACTGTAAAAATCTCTAGTGATTCTTTTACAGTATCTGAAGCTAAACGAAAATTTTTAAGAAATGTTTCTCCATTCTCATGGCGCAGCTCAAACTTAGCTAATTCAGAATTTAACCTTCTCCCTTTTAGTTCCTTTAACAAAGCATTCTTGACAGTTTCTCGATGTTCTAATGGAACAGATTTAAGACGTTTTTCCATTATTCGAACTGCTTGCTGGGAAACCACAGTGGATGGTGTTTGGCTAGATACCAATTGATTAAAATATTCAAAACATGTTTCCCATTGCGTTGAACGGTACATTTTTTCCAATATAATTGTTTTTTCATCCTTTTCACGTATTGGAGTGATTAATGTTCTGCGTTTAACCCATTCATCTCCAAGAGTTTTATGCTCTTCTTCAAGTTGTAAAGCTAGTCTCTCTTTTTCTGCATTTTCCTGACTCTTCCGTAATTGTTCTATTTCTCGTTCACGTTGTAATTCCCATACATCTACAGATATAGTTTCATCCTTTATAGGAGCAGCAGCACTAGGAGTAGTTGAAGAAGTTATTTCTGAAGAAATTGGAACTGTGATAGAAGGTTTTACAGGTCTTTGTGGTTTAGATTCTGGTTTTTCAAATAAAGCTGTTACAGTATGATCCATTGTATGACTTTTTATTGGTTCAACCGAAACAGTTGTTTCAAAAAGAGGTTTATCCTCAGATATAGTAACATTTGTAACCTCAAGGGGTGTAGTAGTTTCATTTAGAGAAAATTCTTTTTTCTCTTCTTTAACTAATGATACGACAGGTTTTGAAGGAGTTTGTAAAGACGTAGTCTTTTTGGGATCCGTAACGAAATCTAATGAAGGAACTGCTTGGTTAGACAATAAAGATTCAACATTTGAAGTTTTAGTCTGTTTTAATGGTGTCTCTTTCTTTATTGCACCCAACTTTACGTCCTGATCTCCTCCTTTCTTGTAAATAAAATCCAAAGTTGGTACCTTTTTCACCTGTGGTTTCTCTTCTGCAGATAACTCTTTCTTCTTTGGTTGTTGTAATGGGATATCAATCAAAGGGACACGTTTAGCGATACTAGTGGGATTTCTTATAGTGTTTACCTTGGGCGTTCTTTGAGTAGATAAAAATTCAGCAACTTTATATGAAACACTTCCCAAAGAACCACCTTTTTTTCGGCTTTGTGATTGTATTTTCTTCAGCTGCTGAGCATACAGTTTACTTGTTACCCCAATTGGTTCTACAGCTCCAACTTTCTTTGCGGAGTCAAATAGAACTTTTGCTGCTGCTGCAAATCCGGAGACACCACCACCACCACTATGGAGGGGAGCCATAACTACAGTATTCTCCTTATATAGACTTCGTGTAGTTGTTTTCTTTTCTTTTTTCTTTTATTGGTGGTGTGGGGGGTGAGGGGAAAAGGAACCTTTTTTTCTTTTTCTTTCCTTTGGCGATACAACTAGATATACAGCAACACCCACACAGCACTTTTAAGGAACAATAGAAAAGATAAGAGGGATTAAATACAGAATATAAAGAGTGAAACATCAAAAAAAAAAAAAAAAAACAATAAAACAATAAAACTACATTTTTATTCCATTCTTCTCGTTTACTATTATTATTTTTTTTTCTACTTAAAAAAGGATCTAAGTAATGAAAAGTGGGCTTATGCCTTCACCAAATAAGTCATGCAATTTACACGAATCTACTACAGTTGGAAATGGTTGTAACATTGAAACATAAGCTTTTTCTGTTACTTCAAGAAGGTATTGGGCAGACTTAACTGGAATACATTCTTCTCCTATTGTTATATCAATCAATGCCACTTCTCGAAGCATCTCAACAATTTCCAAGTAGGCCCCATAACTTAAGACAATAAAATTAGGTTCACCTAATTTTACACTAAATGTTTGTTGAGCCCTCTTTGTAGCAACAAAAAGAGTATCCAGAGACAAACGACTATCAATAGGATTCGTCTGAAATATTTTTGTAGTTTCATTAGCTATTACAGCAACACTTATAAAGAGTATAGGAAGTCGAATTGTTTGAATAAATTCGACGAAACGATCATGAAAAATTTGACGAACAACTGCATGCACATCTTTTACAGCTAATAAACCATCATTTACTTCTGTAGGTTGATAACCTTCTTCAATTTTCATCATAAGACCACAAACAGCAGCTGATGCAGATTGTAGCAAACGTCTAACATCTCCATAGTGTGATGCTGTTTGATTACACAAATAGTTAATAGCTTTTTCTGCGAACAAAGTAGGTTTAATATGATCAACTCTTCGTAAAAGAATTTCTTTTAATTCAGAAAAACTATATGGTTCAAAAACTAATCGTTTTGTTATATCTAAACGACTTCTAGTCTTCGCATCTGCTGCAAGTTCCATACTATTAGATATAGTTATCAACTTACAAAATGCAAAAGGAAAACTTAACCAGTCAACAATTCTGAAGAAAGCTTTATGATGCCTTTTCAACACTTTATCTACTTCATCTATAACAATCATACACAAAGGTGTAGGAGAACTACCCCAACCTTGTCTAAAACGTTTTTCTATTAATGCAGCACATTGCTCAGGTGAACAATTTTCACTATGACCCAACCTTGCCTTGCTTAAATGAGAATTTAAGGTCCAGTATATATCAGAGCTTTTCTGAATGACGTAACCATTAAGAAATACTGCAGTTGGTTTTCTTCCAGAAGGAGCTGAATGTGCAAGAACAGCAAGAGCGTGGTTTACAGATGCTGTTTTCCCAGTTCCAGGCATACCAAATATCTGCATAACAGGATGAACACTATCATTAAGAAAATCAACTATAGTATTTACGTGAACATCACGACATGTTAGCTCCTTTGAAGCTGCTGCACTAGATACACTAAGAGCAGCTACACCCTCACGTAGAGCAGAAACTATACGTTCATTTGAGCGACCTCTTGGACGCTTCATGTCTTCTTCATGACGTTGATGATTAATATTATTATTTTAATAATAAACAAAAAGTAAATAGAAAGAGTATAGAGGAAAAAAAAAGGAAATAGTATATTCCTAGAGAGGAGGGGAAAACGCACACAGTATACAAACTGTACCAAAAGTAAACAATGAAATAACCAAGTTAAACTAAATTCACTCTATCGTAACTTTCTACTAGACGTACACTTCAAAACAGTGCAGTATTAGATCATCAGACACAATTTCTACTTCACACTAACTCCCCACTACTCCCATTCCCCTCACCAAAGGAATAATAATAATAATAAAATACTCAAAAAATACTCGATAACCCTATGGTTTTCCAAAAAGAGGCTCTTGGTTGTTTATCTGCTGTAACCAATCGAATTTTACCGTTCTCGATAAAATAAATTTCACGCCATGTTGGAAGATTGCCTAAACCCCAAAACCCAGAATTCCCATATTCATACATCCCACGATCCCATTTAAATTTCCTCTGAAAGGTGTTTTCATCAATTTTTTCAATTGGTACTGGATCCAGATAACCTTTTTTGACAAACCGTGCTTCATCCCTTAATAAATCATGCACTTTCTCTCCGTGATGTAATCCTCCCCATGGACATCCCATCGCTGCGCCAGGTGCAAGCATCTCATACGCCTCCTCACCACGACCTTCACGACGGAGAGAGAGAAACTCTTCAACTACTTCCATTTCTACGTCTTTCTTAAATTAAAAGAATAATAGCAATAATAATAAACAAGAAGAAAAAAAAGAGGAAAATAGGGGAAGAATATATTAAGAAAGAAAAAAAGAAAGAGAGATTTTGCATCTCTCTATATTGCAGAATCTATAGGAAATATAAGTCAATTATCTTGTTAAGTCATCTCAATTTCGTTTCGTTTCGTTTCGTTAAGCAGTAGAATATCGCATTACCGTTACTCAGTATGTTTGACCGAGGTAAGTTGAATCAAATACAGCACGAGGTGATTCTTCCGGAAACTGTTTGGCAACACTTTCATGAAATACACGTTCAGACTCCATATTCTTTTCAACTGCAACACGAGCTCTACGCGCTAGTTCCAGTGGATATGTTGGATCTAATGCCATTCGTGCAGCTTGAGCCACATCATCTTCCTCATCCCCATTTTGTTCCTGAAGTAAGTGAAGCATACGTTTTTTATAATCATCCCAATCTCCTCCCATTAACTCCACTTGTTCTTTCATTACACTACGTCTTAGTTTACCAAGACTTTTATTTCTCCAATATGAACTTACACAAGATGGAGGTTTAGCTCCTGGTATTTTATGAATATAGGCAAAATGACTAAGTGATTCTACTTTGTGCATAATCCATAACTCACTCCTTAGTTGTTTCTTTAAGTCATAGGGAAGTCGATAACGATGCTCCATTGGAATGTGAGAAAGAACACCCTTACTTCTTATAGGTAGGTCATAGTAATCTAAAAGAATCCATCTTCGGTTTGTTTTAATTTCGTATTCAATTGGATTAGGTTCATTTGGTTTTAAAATAGAATTAAGATTAGTACAACAAACTGCTAAAACTCCAGAATCGGAAAGATAAGATCCTGCTTCATCAAAAAATTGTTCCAGACGACCTGCATAGCCATCCATTCCTGGTGCATACAAACTTGTATTTTCAGAAAAAAGGGAATCAAATGACCCTTGATCAGGATAAAAAACTATTAAGTCATATTTTTCTTGTTTTGATGATTTTGAAAAGTCATCCATACCTGCAAACATTTCTCCAACTCTAAAACTTATAGCATCAAAACGTTTACCCATTTGCTGTGCATCTTTTCTACTAGATTTCACAGCTCTCGGATTAGGATCAACTCCTCGAACTATAGGAACTCCACATTCTTTAGTTGCAAAAGCAGCAGCACCACAACGACTCCATACAACAAGAGCCTTATTTAACATTAAAGGACCTCTAAAGTTTTTTAACCAGTTACTATATAACAAAAGTGGTTCAAGATCAACCTTTGATGGTACCACAACCCCAAAGGGAGGATGCACTTTACAACGTTTTGGAATTAAAGGAGCCAAACTTGCTCCTTGTTCAAAGTGTGAAAAACTTCTCAAAAGTTGAAGATACTCATCATACGTAAGATGTGTATGATCTGAAACAGGAAAATATTCTTCCACAAAAACCTGAAACCTTTTCCAAAGAACCTGAGACCATTTAAAATTATCAAAGTAAACATTTTGAATACCAAAGCTTGAATTTAATTCGGGATCATTAAAATCATCTAAAACCCAAAAATCTCTACGAATAAGCAAACGACTACAAATTTCTTTTAATCTTAATTGCAAACCAATCATATCTACAGGGCTAACGGCCGGATATTCTGAGCGTAGTAAATGTCGAACACCAAGGTGAGCACGATGAATAGTCTCTATTTTATTTAAAGGAGCTACAAAAAAACCATTTTTCACTAAAGAGCAGACACTATCTATTGATTCTGAACCATCAAGAGGAACATAACCTAATGGATACCTATAGGGATCCTTGGTAGACTCTGGGCGTAGTATAAGTCCCCTTCTAGATCCCAGTAAAGAGAAATATCTGATCCTTTTCATCCCTAATAATAAAGAGAAAAGGTAAAAAGAAAAGAGGAACAAGAGAAGAGAGAAAAATGAATAACCACATTACAGAATAAAAACTCCCATAGAATCTCCATTAATAATAATAAAAAAAGGATTATAAGGTCTCTTGACTTATGTAGAAAAGAAAGACTTCTTAAATGTAACACATGAAATAAAAAAGGGAAACATTAAGACCCACGTGCACGTTTCTCCAAACGAGGAAGAACTTTATCTTTTAGTATGTATTGAGGTACTAGAGGATCTTTCAGTGAAGAACAATCAACCAGATCACCCCAAACTACCGTCAGAGCCTTGCACCTCTCATTAACATAATGTCTTACAACTTCAAAATTGCCCTTAAAACCACATGGAATAAGCGAATACAGTAGGATATTCCGAGGCAAAAACATTGTTATATTTTTTGAAAAACCTAGAATAAACTCAAAAAGTTTGGAAAATTTCATTCCTATAGTTTCCTCTAAGGATTTATCTATATCAAAGAAAGGACCAGCGCAATACATTTCTCCACCCCATGGTGGAGAACAGTGTACTGCGTCAACAGAGAAATCCTCTACTTTTAGAGAACGAATATCACTACAAATAAAAGAAACACGGTCAGAAACTCCATAGACAGCTACATTATGTTTTGCTGCTTCAATTGCATCAATATCTATATCAACAGCTATAACCTTATCGTAAACTCGTGCAAGTTGAACAGTATCACCACCACATCCACAGAATAATTCAAGAACAGAACCCCTTTTCTTGAGAGTCTGATGAATCTTACTAGAAGACCGCGCTATATTTTCAGGTGTTACCTCAAACCATCCTCTCTTTGTCATCCATACACCTTCATCAAAACGTGACCATAACCGATGACGCTGTCCGTAATACTTTTCAACAGTTAAGTCATCAGAAAAAGAGGTTCCTATCTTGGCCATGGCTTTCAGAAACAAAACAAAAAAAGAAATAATACACAGAATATAAAAAAAAAGAGATTAGGAAAGAGACACAGAGTGTAAAATAGGGAAAAAAAGAACTGCAATTACGCAGGAATAAAGGAAAAAAAAAAAAACCAAAAAAGAAAAAGAAAAACAACTCATCAAAGAGAAGAAACAAAAAAAAAAAGAAAAAACGGCAGCAAGATGTCCTCAATTGCCGGCCACGCCAACGGAAGGAGAAGCGGACGACGACACGAGGCCCAGGGGACCAACCACACGGGATCCCCGCGGCGAGCCCCACACCCCCCACCCCGGAGGCCCGACCGGCGCCCCAGAGCCACCAGCGTTTCTTGTTTTTTCACGGATCCTTTTCTGGAGGCTTCTTTTTCCCGGGATCTGTGAGGGGCGGCGCGGGGCATTTCCTGTTGTTCTTCCTGTTTCGGGCGGCGGCGTTGGACGCTGTACCCGGTTGTGTGTGTGTGCGTGTGTGTTTTTTTTTTTTTTTGCAATACTTGCTTTCTTTTTGTTGGGTGTTTCCTTCTCGGGGGCCGCGTTGGCGGGACCGACGCCGGGCGAGGTACCGAACCCGAGGTTTTTTTTTCTTTCTCTTCTTTTCGTTCTTTTTTTTTTTTTTTTAATTTGCAGCGACCATTTGTGGTGCAGGAATGGATGGGGTTGGTGAGTATCGGAATCGCCTAAAGAGGTTTTATGAAGTTTATAACCCTTCTTGCCTTTCCTCAGTGGACGCTATTTTGACAACTTACCGTGGTAGAGAGGAGGATATTTTTCGCGTGTTAGTAGACAAATATGGACCTGAACCGACTCCGCAGCAGAACGTTGAGAGACCGTTAAATGTGCCAGAACCTAACCCAAAGCATTCCGAGGATGTTATTCCTAGGAATAATCACAGTTTTTTTTCCATTGATCATCTTGAGAAGACTTCTGATTTTCCCGCAGACTCTGAATATTGCGTAATTCAGGAGGGAAAATGGAGACCATCACCAGATATGAAGGACAACAATAAATCGACTGAGAAAAATACTTCTCTCTCTAATGAGTCTGAGAAAGGTGACATGAACAAGTTAAGGGAAAGGTTAATAGAATTTTATCGGATTCATAATAAGTCAATGATACCATTTGTAGATGAACTAATTGATAATTATGGTGGAAATGAACAAAAAATGTTTACTGATCTTCGTCGTCAATATAATGACTCAGAAAAGGTGGAAACATCTGCTTCTATTACTTCCTTTGATGAACTAAATGACGTAATTAAGCGTTTGAGTCACGCTCTTGAAGTGAAAACAAGAGAGACTCTTACTCTAAAAAAAGAGAAGGAATCACTTTCCAAAGAACTTTCCACTACACATAGGGCATTAGATAATTTTCAAGAAGAAGAAAAATTTCTAAGAACCAAAATGCAAGCTTTAGAGGAACAGTTACAAGGAAAACGTGTTAGTGTTACTCTTGAGACCAAAAATAATGAAATAGCTACGTTACGAAGTGAGAAAGAGGATCTTACAAGGAAGTTGGCGAGTGCAAAAGAACTATTAAATGACTATCAAGAAAGAGAGAAACAACTTGAATTACAATTACAAAATGTAATGAAACAGATACATATGAACGAAACATTGGTTTCTAATGGATCTCTAAAGATTAACGAAACCCAGAATGAAGAGAACTCACTCCATATTCAGTTACTAGAAGCGAAGAAAGAGTGCAAAGAAGTTAAGTCATCTTACCATGGATTAAAACATCGTATTCGTGTTCTTGAGCTTGAAAAACAACAAATTCTTGATGAACTTAAGAGTGCAGAAAAACGTAGTTCGGAAATAAGTGATTTACTTTTGATAGAACACCGAAAAAATCTTTCTTTACTTGAAGAAGTAGCTGGATTAAAATTAGCTGTTGAGAAGCCTTCTAATGAGACTGCTTTTACATCCATAGTTAGTGAAATTGAAGCTCGCTTTTCTCAACATTATGAAGCTGAATTACAACGGTATCGAAAAGAAATGAATGAGTATTATCTGTACGCAGAAGAACAATTACGTCGCCGTGATACACTTATTGCGGAAATGAACATTGATAGCTGACAGTTTTTTTTTTCCCCACAGTGTTACCCTTGAGAGAAAAAGAGAGAGAGAGAGGAATGGTTGGTGTAAGTTTTTTTTTTTTTTTTCAGTACCTTTTCCTTCCGAAGCCTGGGGTATTATTATTGTACTTGTTTTATATTTTCTCTTTTACAATATATATATATATATATATATATATATATATATATATATGTTTTCATGCGGATTTCTTTTTTTTTTTTTCTTCTTCTGACAATCTGGTCTATGTTCTACTCTATCTATCTATCTATCTATCTATCTATCTATCTATCTAGGATCATAGTGTGGGTTATATCTAAATTGTTTTTAGAAGTATGTCTGGACTTCGACAACGCAAAACAATTATTGAAGATGAGGGGCCTCCACCGAGGCCTATTTTTAAGAGTGTTGCAGCGGTCGATCTCTTTCCAAAGCCAAAAGAAGACTATCGTCGGACACAAACGCATCAAGGAGCCATAGTGAGTCTAGTTACTGTGACCATAATATGTCTACTTGTTTTTTGGGAAGTTTCTGCTTACCTTATGGGTCGAGATGCTTTTAAAACAGAGCTTAGTGTTGATACAAAAGTTTCAGAGAAAGTTCTCTTTAATATTGATATCACTTTTCCTAATGTACCATGTCATGAAGTTTCATTGATTGTCTTGGACGTTACAGGTACATTTAAATTTAATGTTACCCGTAATCTTCAAAAACTCCCTGTTACCTCGGATGGTGAAATTGCTTTTGCTGGTGATCTTGACTTCCTTCAAGATTCTACTAATTTTCACTATGACCCCAAAAAAGATCATGACTCCCCAGAGTATTGTGGAAATTGTTTTATTGATGAGGAATATAAGTATGTTGATAAAGAAAATAAACTTTGCTGTAATTCATGTGATGATGTGATGAAAATGCATGACAAGTACAATTTTCAACGTCCACCGCTAAATACTGTTAAACAATGTATGTACGAGCTATCATTAACAAATCCAGGATGTAATTTTAAAGGGTCTTTAAAACTTAAAAAAGTAAGTGGATTGCTTATGTTTACACCGAAAAGAGGTAAATATGGATTTAAAATCGCAGATGTTATGCAGTTTGATGCAAGCCATATTATAAAAAAATTTTCCATAGGGGATGAACGTGTGTCTCGTTTTTCTCGACGAGGGGTTTACTACCCACTAAATGGACAAACATTTGATGCTCAAAGACGCTTTGCTGAGGTTAAGTACTTTTTGAAAGTGGTACCTACAGGATACTTAACTGATAAAGGGAATGAGGTACTGGGATCTACTTATGAGTACAGTGTGCAATGGAGTAATCGTTTCATACCTATTGGGTTCGGACATCTACCTTCAGTGGAATTTTCCTTTGATTTTTCTCCAATCCAAGTAAACAATTACTTTAAACGACCACCATTCTATCATTTTCTCGTCCAGTTATGTGGTATAGTTGGTGGACTATTTGTTGTTCTTGGAATGATCGATGGTCTTGTTGTGCGAATTGGACGCTTCTTTTGAGATTTCTGATGTCATAATGTAGGGATAATTTTTCTTCTGAAACTCTTCTGGTTTTTAGTTTTTTTTTTTTTTCTTTTTGTTTTCATAGAGGTCTGTGTTCTCATATGCTTCTACGCTTGACCTCTGGGTTTATATATATATATCTTTCTCCCTTTTTCTCCTTTTATTTTTATTACTATTATTTGCTATCGTCATTACTACACTTCACTGTATTAGCTGGGCTTAACATCATGAGGCGGTGCATGGTTTTGGCAGCTGAGGCGCATCTACCAACAATCCTCCCGGATTGGGCAATAAAAAAGCCAACAAGGCTCAGTACTGCATTAGACGATCTAGGTATTAGGCTTTCTAAAATAGCCAAAAAGATTATAGTATTAGGTGACAAAATGATGGGAATTCGACCGAAAGAATCATTATATCGTACTCCCAGATTACTTACTTTAAACGGAGTAAGACCATCTGTAATGGATAATGTTTTTATTGCACCTAGCGCCTTGATATCTGGTGATGTTCGAATAGGTCGTAAAAATTATATTGGTTATAATGCCATTATTCGTGCTGAAAAAGATGAAACAATTTATTTAGGTGAAAGTTGTAACATTCAGGAAAAAGCAGTTGTTACTGGAAATGTTACCATTGGGAAGTGGGTAACTATTGAGCCGATGGCCATAGTTGAGGCTGCTGATATAGCGTCTTGCTCTTTTATTGGTGCTAATTCTATTGTTATGAAAGGTGCGAGGATAGAATCTGGTTCAATGTTATGTGCGGCTTCTGTTCTTCAATCAGATGCTATTATCCCTTCTGGTGAAATGTGGGCAGGTAATCCGGCAGAGAAGATAAGAGATTTAACTGAAAAGGAAAAAGAGGATATAATAAAAGCTGCAAAACATATGGTATTACTAGCGATTGAACATAGAGATTCTTGGGAGCTAACATGGGAAGAACTAGAAGATCAACGTGTGGCTCGTGAACAATTCGCGCGCTACGCCGAAAACAATCGGGAGATTCGTACGAAACCTATGTACATAAAGGAACCTCCACGACCAAGCAGAAAAGCCATGGGAAGGAAAACACCACAAGAAATGGTGGATGGCGGAGAGCATAAACCTCCTTTGGCAGAGAGTGTTCACCAGGGATATTGAGTAACGGCGTTTGGGTTAGAAGTCTTATTTTTTTATTTTTATTATTATTATCTCTCTTACTATGAGATAGGGTGTGTTGGGGAGGGAAGGGTGTTGTGGGGTGGTAGTGAAGTAGTGATAGAAGAGTACTAACCCTAGCAGGAAGTGATGTCAAGAAGTAGTAGTAAACAAGAGTTGTTTTTTTTTTTTTTTTTTATAGAGAGACCAAAAAGAAAAAGGAAAATGGAAACAACTGAAAGAATTATAATTCTATTTTTCTTAGAAGAAGAAAAACCAATTGCTGTACTGTTCTTTTTTTTTTTTTTTTTTTTTTTTTTTTTTTGCAACTATGGGGTCTAATAACGATCAGCCAGTGGTGTCATGTGAAAATATTCACAAAACATACCTTCTTGGCACTGAAGGAGTTCCTGCTCTTCGTGGTGTGGCAATTGATGTAAAACCGGGTGAGTTTCTCCTTGTTTATGGTACAAGCGGTGGAGGAAAAAGTACATTACTTAATGTTCTTGGTACCATTGATTTGCCTACAAAAGGAAATTTGTATTTATTTGATACACGAATTACGGATCAAACCCCTGATGCAGATCTTGCACGCCTCAGGTGTCAACAAATGGGGTTTGTTTTCCAATCTTTCAATCTTTTATCTACAATGGATGCACTGGATAATGTTTCGCTTCCTATGATAATAGCTGGCACACATTCAGAGTTCGAAATAAAAACAAGAGCAAAAGAACTTTTGGCTTCAGTTGGTCTCAGTAATCGTTTGCACCATTTTCCTTCAATGTTATCAGGTGGAGAACAGCAACGTGTAGCTATAGCACGTGCACTTGCTAATGATCCAGATATATTGTTTTTGGACGAACCAACAGGAGATCTTGACACAAGGAACACCAAATTAGTGATGAATATTCTAACGAAACTAAATTGTAATAGTGGACTAACAATGGTTATGGTAACACATGATGTGTATATGAAGCCTTATGCCCACCGTGTATTATATGTCTCTGATGGGAAGGTTCAAAAAACAGAAATTGTCGATCCAAGCCTTCGAGAAAAAGCATTACAAAAACTATGGAAATCTGCTGAAAATGTGGACACGAAATGGAATAATATAGGGCTTCCTAGACTCTTATCTGAGGTACGTTCTCCTACTGAGTATCCAACTACGGATGCTCAATGTGATATGTCTTTTGAAGATGATCCAGAGATGCAACATGTTGTGAGTGTTCTTTTTGCAGTTTAGTTCCCAACTTATATGGTGATTGTAGCTAATATTTATATATACATATATGTATGTATGTATATATATATACATATATAATGGAAATTTTTTTTTTCTTGATTCCTTTGTTTTTTTCTTCTTTTTTTTTTTGTGCTTCTTGATATAACTAAATGGAACATTATGTTTTCATATTCAGGGTGTTTTGTGGTCTTTGGCTGAAGTGCAAGTGTACAAATACCTGATGATTTGTGCTGTTTCCTTTTTATTGTTATTATTATTATTATTATTATTATTATTATTATTATTATTATTATTATTATTATTCTCACCCTTTATATATATATATACATCTATATACATCTATATATATATACATGTATATACAAATATATATACATCTATGTATATATATATATATATATATATACTATGACTGGAAGATAAGAAGGAAAAAAAAAAACGTGACCACTCACGGACTCTCTGAACTTCAATGAGTTGTTTTGCTTTGCATTTTTTTTTTTTTTTTGTTGTTGGTGAAGGATACATTGGGTTTAAAAAGTTTTTATTGGGTGAAAAAGTTATACTATAGGTATATCTATATCTGTTGTTGTATCTATATGCTGTCTGTGTATGTTTTCTATATATTTCTATATGATGTATTTTTCCTTTCTTTACTACTTCTGAAAGTAATGGCTTATGTGAATTCTATTCTTAAAACTTCTGTGTTTTTTTCTTCTTAATTTTTTGTTTTTCTCTTTTAGGCTTCATGTGGTATCATTTCGAACATGGAGCAGTTTCTTGCAAGTGGTCAAAAGTACTGCCTGGTATGCAATACCTTGCGCTGGTTTAAAATTAGCCGTTTTGGATGTGTTTTTGCATGTCGTTGTCCTGGTTGTTTTATTGACTTTCGAAATGTTCTTCGTGATTATGTGAATGCCGTTAACTTAGGGGAAAGACAGGTGGAATTCGTCCCTGTCATCTCTGGACGTGTCTCAACAGAACATATGAAGATAGCGCAGGTGGAATTAGATTTATTGGAAAAAGCAGTTTGTTTGCGATTTATGAACACAACATCAGAAGATGCACTTCAAATTGTAAGTGGTTTACCCAATAGTTTGGGGCAATGGGTTGCCACTGTAGATGGATACTTTCGTTTTCCTATGGAAAGTCTTGATCTCTTGCTTCATGAATTGAAAATGGCATCTGACGTTAATGGTGATCCTCTCTACATAAATGAACCATCTCAACGTTCATTGGAAATTGCTTCCACTTCAAATACACAAAGAAATTTTTCTTTATCTGAATTATTACCAGCAAGACTTTTTTCTGCATTACATCAACATCAAATTGATGGGATTTGTAGAGCTTTAATGTTTGATGGACGTGTACTATTTGCTGATGAGATGGGAGTAGGGAAAACACTTCAAGCTATTGGAACTGTAGCAGCACTTAAGGCATTTCCTACACTTGTTGTATGTCCAGCTGCTCTACGACATCTTTGGGTAGAAGAATTTGAAAAATGGCTTACAGATGTTATTGAACTTGATGATATTCATATTATAAGTTCTTCTAGTAATTTTCTTTCTATTAAAGATACACCTAAAGTGGTTATAACAAGTTTTCATATGGCTGCAATACTTGCTACTCAAATGAAGAGTCGAGTTTGGAAATGTATTGTAGTAGATGAAAGTCATACCCTTCATACAACCCTTGAAGCCTATACGGATGCCCAATATACTTCATTATTATGTGATATTGGAAAACGTTCAAGGTATTGTTTGTTTCTTAGTGGAACACCATCCTTAACATCACCTTTTGATCTTTTTAATCAAATTGATACTATTTCTCCTGGATTACTTGGAAGAAATAGGTGTGAATTTGCTTTACGATATTGTCGAACAGAATTTTCACCATATTTCAGAGTTTGGGAATCTACTCGTGGTGTGGAATTGTATTCTCTACTTGCATCTACATGTATGATTCGACGTTTAAAATCAGAAATTCTCACAGATTTACCTTCTAAACAACGTGTTTTACTTCGTGTACCAGAGAAAGTACTTAATATACAAGAAAAAGGAAATTCGTTTCAAGAAAAATATGCAACTAGTTGGAGAAAAAAAAGTGATAAAATTATAGAAGTAGTGGATTATGTTTTAACAAAGTATACTAAAGTTGTTATATTTGCTCATCATATTAAATTATTAGATTGTCTAACTAAACATATTAATGAAAAAAAATATACTTGGATACGTATAGACGGAAGTACACCTGTATCATCAAGAGCTACTTCACTATCATTATTTAATAATGGAGATATTCGAGTAGCCATTATTGGAATTACAGCTTGTGCTGTTGGGATTCATTTAACAGGAGCATCTTGTGCATTATTTGCGGAATTACCTCCAGATGTTACTTGGATGCAACAAGCAGAAGATCGTCTTCATCGTCCTGGACAAGAAAAGAGAGTTATTTTTTTTTACATCATTGGTTCTGGATCTTTCTTTGATGGAGAACTCTTTGCACGTCTTTGTCGTTCCTTTCAGGCAGTGAGACAAGCTACTGATGGGGTTTCATCTTCTTTAACAGCAAGTTATGCTAGTCATGCCGTATCCTTGAGTGATGAGGTGATGGATGTAAACACCATAACTGGTAGGTATGCAGGAACTTCCTTACATCTTACAACCTCAGCCTCACTTCTTTTTCGTATTAGTCCTAATACTGGAAGAATTCATGTTTCTCAAGCAAAAAAATATCTTACGAGTCTATCTATTGATGAAGCACAACAACACTGGAGTTTAAGTGATGATTTTTCACGTCAATTAACACAATTTATGTTAAATATAGAAAAGTTATCTTCTTATGAGTATCGTAGATTAAAGTTTTCTGCTCGTTGGTTTCCATCAGATTTTACATGGAAACCTGAAAAAAATGAACGAAAAACTGCTTTTCGCTATAGTCACGAAAAACCCTTATTGGGTAGAGTGTTTTTTTGGAAAGTTAATCGACGTCATAATTATTCTACACATTCCTATGGTGCTCTACTTTCATCATCCGGAGGATCTTATAAACCATTATGTTTGGAATGTGAACATCCTTTATCTTGTACATTAACTATATCCCCAGGAGATATTGTACACACCGATCATGATACCGATATGTTCTGTGGTGGTTCCTGTCGAGAAGCATTTTATATAAAACGCTCTGGATTTGCCGTTCGGAGAAGTGTTCGAGAAGCGGATAAAGGTATTTGTTCATGTTGTCAAGTAGATTGTGAAACATTATGTGCACTTGTTGCTGTTGCGACTACACGTAAAGACAGAGAATCTATTATTGACCAAATGCATCCACACATGCGACATTATCCAAATTTATTTAACCGAATTGTTGAACATCCTGTTCCTGGAAATGTCTGGAATGCTGATCACATTTTACCAGTAAGTCAAGGAGGAGGTGAGGCTAGTATGGATAATTTACAGACACTTTGTGTGGCCTGTCATTTAGAAAAGACGATAAGTGAAAGTAAAATGAAACATAAATACATCACGAAAGAATCACATCGTACAACAGTTGATGTTTCGAGTGGTCACTTTGCTTTCAAAGCGACGCGACGTGTAACGGCAGCGCGTGTGCAATGTACACAAGATCTGCTTTCTTTTTCTTCTAAGGATACATATTTTTTTTTTTTCTTTTGTCATTTTTTTTTTTCTTGTTGTCCATTTTGTGTTATGAAAGTGCCCTTTTTTTTATATTATTGAGTTATGATGAGCTCTATTTATTTATTTACTTCTTTTTCTTCTTCTTTATATATATATATATATATTCTTTTTATTGTGTGATAAATATATATATATTTTTTCTTTTGTGTAGAGTGCACATATAATCTGTTTTATGAGTTCAAAAGAAGAGGACGAAGAGACATGTTTTGCCCACGATATTATTACCGAAGGGCAAGTGGAAGTTAACGATGTTGTAGCAGATGAAATTGAATTTCTACGTGAAAACTATGATAATATTCGCATTGTGGAGAAGGACAATTTCTATCCAAAGATATTATTTGCACTTGACACAGAGTCTATCCCAAGAAGACGTGTAGTACTTGAAGTTAGTGTGGTCTGTGGATATCCCTATGTGGCCCCACGAGTGCGCATACTTCTTCCCCACGGCATCACTCCAGAGAACAGTGGGGCCTTAAGTAAGGCGGAGTTGAAACAAATACATAAAGACATTACAGAGGCCATCGCACCATCACTGCTTGCAGGAGCTCCGTGTATTATGCAAATTATTTCAGTGGTGGAAAAGGTGTTGTCGGGTGGAGTGGAAAGATCATGTACACCTGTTTCCGATAAACATGAAGAAGTTGTAACTACAGAAAAGATAGCATCATTACAACTACCACCACCCCAACAACAACAACAACAACCATCATCATCCGTTGAGACGAGAAAAACAAGTCTCATAACACAAGAAACTCTTAAATTAATTGCTCTTCTTTTACATTTACTTAATAAATGTTGTCATTTAAAGGATCCAGAATCAGAAGAAGAGGCGAGCAGCAATTTTCAATCATTGGTTTATTACTTGATAAATGAAGTTAAAGTTATTCCCAGAAAATTTCAAAAATGTGTTCCATGGAAGCATGAATATACTCAACGTGTTTTTCGCGGAGACTTTCAAAAGTCTATGGATGGAACAGACGCTCTCACCAAGTGGCTTTGGGTTCAAGAAGAGGGAGTTGGAACCTTTAAGCGAAGTTCACCTGGGAGATATAAGAGTGAATTTATTGAACAACGTTTATTAGGATCAGGAGGATTCGCACCTGTTTACGTTTGTCGGAAAAAAATTGATGGTCGTCTTTATGCTGTTAAAAAAATAGTTATAAAAACAAATCAATCTGAAAAGGCACTTCGAGAAGTTCAAAGTTTGGCAGCACTTAGTCATAAAAACATCGTTCGTTACTATGATGCATGGATTGAACCAGGTTGCGATGAAAACTTGATAGAATATCTTGATGGTGATAGTGAAGAAAAAGAAGAAGAAGAAGAGGAGGAAGAAGAGGAAGATGAGAAAGAGGAAGATGAGAAAGAAGATGAAGAAGAAGAAAAAGAAGAAGAAAATAGCGAAAATGAGGATAACTTACAATTAAGTCGATCAAAAAAACAGCGAACTACTTATTACTACAATGATTTACATGCAACTAGTGAAGAACATGAATATACCGCGTCATCATCAAGCAGTAAAGTGTACTCCTCTGATGAATCAGATGATGATACCCCTCCAGATGTTTTAAGTACACCATATCTTGCACACTCTGTAGAATATCATACACTTTATATACAAATGGAGTTGTGTTCAAAAAAGACATTAAGAAGTTTAATTGATTCCTCCGATATGGAAAAAACTTCTTTTTTTACATCTGATGATGGTGAAAATATTGCGTCAAGGATTTTTCGTCAGTTATTAACAGTTGTGGCACATTTTCATAGGGAAAAAATTGTTCATCGTGATTTAAAACCTGATAATATATTGTTTGAAATGGAAAGTTCAACAGGTGGAGGAGAAGTTGAAACAGTTCGAGTAGCAGATTTTGGTTTAGCACGAACCTTACAAACTTCAGTAAAGCGAAATCCAAGCAGTTTTGAAGTAGATGATCCATTATCTCTTGGTGAAGTAGTGGCTGGAGAGTGTAGAACAGGAAATCTTGGTTCTGTTCTTTATTGTGCACCTGAACAAGAACGAGGTGAAAGTTATGATTTTAAGGTGGATGAATATAGTTTGGGAATGATAGCACTTGAAATGTGGCTTGCCGTGGCTGGTAAAGGATTTAGAGAGAGGTTTAATATTATGACACAGGTGAGTCGTGGAAATGCCCTTCCAGATTGGTTTACGACTTGGAATCCAAGAATGGCAAGTGTTATTTCTGGTCTACTTCAACGTGAACCTAGTGCACGACGAACATGTGAAGAAGTTCTTAATGCAGGTGATCTTCCTGGAGATCCAGCCGATATAGTAGAAGCACTTGAAACAATTGAAAGACATGGTGAACATATTGCTGGTCGTGTACTTCATTCTGTTCAACGAATAATGGTAAATTGTAGTCGTAAACCTCCTCTTTTAAAGAAGGAATTACTTAAAACACTTACAAGTGTTGTCATGTTTGATCTTATGCAAGCTGTAAATATTGTTGGATTACTTCATGGTGCAGTTCCAGTAGCTTGTTATGATTACTTTGTACCTATGAATCCTTCACTTAATGAATCTGATGTACCATCTGTTCTAGATATGGGATCAAGGGTTTGGGCTCTTGCACCACATCCACATATTCCTACCTCTTATTTTTTAGGTATGTACGCTAATCCTCATATTGGTTCATTTTATCAATTCTACTACAGAGTACGACCTTATGCCGTTTTTACGACACCTTTAGGTTCATCAGGACTTTTTGATGAAATACTTTTAGATCCATTATTATCATTTTTTCATCTTCTTTCAATGATTGATTTAACATCAAAATTGAAAATTATCATATCACATGCACATTGGTTAAGAGCAACGCATTTGATTGAAGCTAGTTCATCGGATCCATCCAGTACAGTACTGAATATGCATGAAATAATTAGTTCTAGTGATTTGATTCCTCCTGTGGTTTCTAAAATTGATAGTACATTGGTGGAAAGTGGATTTATATCGAGTTCATTAGATAGGCATGAATTAGTAAGAAACTTTACTTCAAGATTATTAGAAGTAATTCCACTTTTTGGGAAACAAGTTGCATCAAATATTACGGTCATTATAGACCCTGCATTAAAACCATGTGAAACATCTGTTGATCGTTCTTTTCTTGATAATGGATTATTCTTTGAATGTCGTACACAAGATGAATGTAGAGCGGTCGCATTTTTTTGTAGTCTTGATAATTTTGCAAGTAGATGTTGTGTACGCAGCGCAGAAATACCAGCATATTCTCTTAGTATCGATCTTATGGAATTGAGTACGGTAGGAAAACATATTCGTCTTCCTAAAGATGAACCATTATTACTTGATGGTGTAGCAGTTCGCCGCCAAGACGTCTACTCTCCCACTCAAGTCTCATTGGTTATCGCAAGTGCAGTGAAGTTATGGAGTGGTAATATACGTGCTTGTTTACGAGCTCCATATGACACTCGTGGATTTTGTAAAGCTATGAAAGCGAAAGAATTGCGAACCGTTTTATTAGATGGAAACCTTATTGTACCCCTTGCATCATTTCAACAAGGTTGGTTGGGTGTTCGTTTAGATGATGTACCATTAGAAAAATTGTGTGCAGTTCTTCGAAAGCGCTGTATTATGGAACGTGCGAATGAAATTCACTCTGATGATATTGTCTTGCATCTACAAGCAAGAGAGAAACGTGCCCTCTCTGATGATGCTAGAGAGATGTTTGCCATCATTAAAGAATCACTTTCACATATACTTGTGGTAGATTGGGAGGTGAGAAAGGTGGATGAATGCATCAGACAACTTATGTGGGATTCTACAAGTGGAGAGAGTGAACGTCCAAAATTACCTGAATTGGTAGAATGGTTGAAAAGTAACATGTCTACATACAAAGTACTCCCTATCTATTCGACAATTGACAGAGCAGTAACGTTTTTTGCTGACCAAAAACACCTTAAATTGAAAAATCGAAATGAAAACGGAAAACGTAAAAAATAGGGGGTATCAAAAACAAAAACCAAAAAAAAAAAATAAAAAAAAAATGGTATGTGTTGAATATATACGTTTGAACTTAGTCCAGTTATGACCTATTCTATTGTTGTATTAGTCTGTATGGACTATTTGTAATGATGTGAACATACCTCCTTTTCTTCTTGGTTTATTCTTTTCTTCCTTTCTTCCTTTCTTTTTTTTTTTTTTTTTTTGCTTTTCTCTTGTTTCTTTGCCTTGTTATTATTTTCTTTTTTTTTCCATTGCTTTAATCTCTTCTTATTCTTCTTGGACTCCACCTATCTGAGAGTAGGGGAGCGCGGGAAACAAGTGGCGAAGCTGTTGCAAATGGATTTCTTTAAAAGGCAACATGCAACGGTTCCAGTTCCTGATCAAGAGGAACTAGAAATGCTGCGGCAGAAAAATAAGACATTGGAGGAGTTAGTAAAGGTTAAAGAAGACGAATTGCAGGAAGAAAAACAAAAATTCGCCATCCTCCAGCAAAAGACTGCCGATTGGAAAGAGAAAGTAAAACAGTACACTACCCGTGATAGAACCCGAATTGCTGAGCTAGAAGAAGAGCTTACAGTGTTGAAAACTATACGTGACACCAGTAATGTAGGTATGTCGGCAGAACTGCAATCTCTGGTAGATCAGGCAATTACAAAGGTGCGTGATGAACACAAACAACAACTCGAAAAACAACAGGGAGAATTAAGTAAGGCTCGTGTAACCATAGAAGAAGGTGAGGCAAAACTACAGGAGGTCCAACAATCTTTGGGAAATCTTCAGGAACAATATATTGCACTTCAACAACGATTCAGTAATGAAATGGAGGCGCTGACAAAACACCATGATATGGAACTGCAACAGCTTCGAGAACATCAAAACAACAGTGAAAAGATTTCTGAACTTGAGAAGTACATAAGAAAACAACAAGAAGAGATAGAAACCTTGGAAAATCACTCTAATCAACAGAAAACTCTTTCTGATGAGATTCAGAAAGAGCTGGTAGATCTCAGGGCAGAGAAAGAAAGACTGGAAGCACAATTGCATGATTCTTCTCAGAAATTGGCATTCTTCAAGGAACAGCAAAAACAATGGGTTGAGAATGCAAACAATACAAAATTATCAGAAGAAAAAACAACCCAACAGTTCCGTGAAACCCTTGAACAAAGACAACAAAGTGGATCACCCGAAAGAGATGGCATTCCATCACTTGAAAAATTGCAAAAATGGAAGGAAAAAGTAAAACAAGATAAAATCAAAGATTTAGAGAATATACGTTCTCTAACACAACAGCTTCAGCAATCAAAACAACGAACACAAAGAGCAAATAAAATTATTATTGAAATAGAGGAAGAACTGAAAAACAACCCTCCTAACGTTTCACATTGTATCGATCTTGCACATAGTTACCATATATCGGATGAATCATCCCAATCAAATGAAATAGCACCTTCTACACAAAGTACTATGACATCACCTCTGACAGTGAAAAGCGAAAAGGGAGAAGAGTGCGATAGTAGCTCTACAGAGCAACAGAATAAGCTGGAGAGTGCGCTCCAGGAACGAGAAACCTTACAGCGGGAGCTAGACAGTGCACGTGAGGAACTGCGGTTGCTGCGTGAGCAGTTTAGTAGTACCTCTGCAGAGAAGGAGGCTGAGCTGGACAGTGCACGTGAGGA